GTCTGGGATAACTTTTCTCATTATTTAGAATGTGTCTCCAGGTAGAAAGTTGGTGCAATCATAGTGCTCACTTAATTTGTATCTCTTTTGTTGGGGATAACAGTCTCTGTTTAAATTTGTTATTCCATCATGGCTCCAAAGGAAATCCTCATTTCTTGCTCCTGGTGATGGATGGGGAATGAGCACTCTCATACGTTAATGATGAGAATGTAAACTGACTATTTCAAAATTTGGCATAATCTTAGAACTCTAAAATGTACACATAATTTGACTTGTCTAATCTATAGGAATATATTCTGTAGAAATAAAAACACAAATATGCAAGAATAAGCATATAAGGACATTTATTGCAGTGGTTTGCAGCAACAGAGAAATAACCTGAACATTCAGTTTGGGGGGAATAGGAAGGCTATATCATGGCATAGCTGTCACTATGTTCATATTTTGTTCTGTAGGCATTTTAAGTCAGAAAAGCAAGCGTATAAGAGACATACCAACAAAATGCAATGAGCAGATGTCTTTTAAATCCTGACTCAAATAAACCAATTATAATCATTAATATCTGAAAAATTACTAGATATTAAGTCCTTATCTATTCAAGATACATACTGAAATATGTAGAGGGGAAATGCTAAAATATACTGACTTAGCTTTAAAATATCCCAGTCAAAAACATTTGGAAGATTAACAAGGAAGGTAAAATAGAGTGATAATTAAAAATATATAATACTGTATGTTATCTATACTGGATTTAAAATTAAAAAATAAAAATGTGTGACAGGTACATGGCATTCATTTTACTATCTTATTTTTGTTATGTTTGAAGTGTTCTACAATAAAAAGTCAAAACAAAATAAAAGAAGTTACAGTGGATAGTTATCCCATTAAAACATAACTATTTTTTAGACTCAAATGTGGACCATATTTGAGTACAGAAGGAAACATCACAAGATAAAAACCAAAGTTTTGACAGAAGATGGGTGGGAGATACTGAAGGCATGATGGCAGTTAATTTTTATTTAACTTTTTCTTTTTAATTTGCACTGTTCCTTTGGTATGGGGTAAACTTTGTTATGGAACTTTGTAAGACGAATGTAATGACCTTTAAGAACTATATGCATGTAGGGGAAATAAAGCTTAATTTTGAATGGGTGGGATGGTATCAATATAACTTAAAATAGCAACTAAGGCAATGTACCAGTCACTTCTGTTTGTCTTTATTAATTCTTTGATTAGTGTACATTCCTTTCCCTTCACCACTACCTCAACAGAGAAATCCTAAGTTTCGAAACAATTTATGAAATAAATAAAAAGTACTGAGATAATTAACATTCATTCAAGTTTCACATTAAACAATCTCATAACAACAGCATAAAGAACAAAAATCTAACTACAGGGGCGCCTGGGTGGCTCAGTGGGTTAAAGCCTCTGCCTTCAGCTCAGGTCATGATCTCGGCGTCCTGGGATCGAGCCCCGCATCGGGCTCTCTATTCAGCAGGGAGCCTGCTTCCTCCTCTCTCTCTGCCTGCCTCTCTGCCTGCTTGTGATCTCTGTCTAATAAATAAACAAAAATCTTAAAAAAAAAAATCTAACTACATCAATCTAGATTGAGAGAATAGGGAAAGGGTTGTGAAAACTTGAGCTAGTGGGACTCTCTGTATAGTGTACTAATTGTAGAACAGAAAAGTACTACACCACCCACCAAATTTAGTTAACTGCCATCATGCCTTAAATTTCCTCTTAATTCCTTTTGGTTAGCAATGGCTTTCTCAAAGTGTGCTCATAACCCAAAGATAGTAAGTATTTTGGAGAAAGCATTCATGGTCAGGACTGGGAAACAATGGGTTAAACAATGGTAATATTTTCTTTACTGCAGGTCTTCTCACAACCTTTTAATTTGGCTTGTTCAAGTGGAATTCATTGGCCGGTAAGGGGATTTGGTTATGCACTGCAGAATGCAATGAGACAAGCCCCTCTTCTCCAGTGGTATTTGGAGGTTATTATGTTTTGAACATATTTTGGGAGATTTTGACTCAGGGTATATTCTGCTAATAGGCAAATATGTTACATGCCAGATGTATACCAATGACTTACAATAAATGTAGCAAATAAAGTTTTAGTTACATTTCATTATTTATATTTTCTTTAAATTCAATGTGGTAATGATGCCATAGTTTGTCCAATCTCAGCAGGGAATGCATAACTGCATGAGCATCACGGTGGTTACTCTAATGATTAGGGGAGTTCTCATGGTTCTCAATTTTTTTTATACTTTTAAAAATGGCAAATTAGCATTTGGATTATAATTTTTTTAAGAGAGAGAAAGCGTGTGCATGCAGGGCTCAATCTTGTAACTCTAAGATCATGACCTGAGCCAAAATCAAGAGTCAGACACTCAACCGACTGAGCCACCCAGGGGGTCCTGGATTATAATTATGTACTATAAACTGTAAAAGCAGTGTCTTTCAGAGTGGGGATAAGGAACAGTATTAAGTTGTGAAGACAATGGAGTGGGCTGTAGTGTTTATTACAGACAATATAATAGAAAACAGCAGAGCACATCACATCATCACATGTAGAAAAGGTTAAGTATTGTTTGGGAAACTTCTGTTTCAATTACTCTATCAGTGGTTTTTATTTTACTATTATTATTATTATTTTATTTTCTTAATTATTATTTGTGTCCATTATGTACTAATGCATTGCATTATTTATACCATAGTATCTGTTTCTTGAAGTGTAGAAGAAAAACATAATCCATACTTTATGTTTAAAATCATTGCATGTGGGGTGCCTGGGTGGCTCAGTGGGTTAAAGTCTCTGCCTTCGGCTCAGGTCATGATCTCAGGGTCCTGGGATCAAGCCCCATATCGGGTTCTCTGCTCAGCGGGGAGCCTGCTTTCCCCCCTCTCTCTCTGCCTGCCTCTCTGCCTACTTGTGATCTCTGTCAAATAAATAAATAAAAATATTTTAAAAAATAAAATAAAATCATCGCATGCAGGGGCACCTAGGTTGCTCAGCGGGTGAGGCATCTACCCTTCAGCTCAGATCCTGATCTCAAGTCCTGGGATCGAGCCCCATGTTGGGCTCCCTGCTCAGCAAGGACTCTGCTTCTCTCTCTCCCTCTCCCCCTCCCCCTGCTCATGCTTTCTTTCTCTCTCAAATAAATCAATAAAATCATTTAAAAAAATAAAATCATTGCATGCACAATCACATCTGCTAATTATTTACTTATTTACTGGATTTAAAATGTTTTCTATTATTCTGAAATCTTTGAGAGAAATCAAGTAGATGGCTAAAGTTGAATTTAAACCTAATCAGGACATTTGCAGGTTTTTTTTTTTTTTCGAAGATTTTTATTTATTTATTTGACAGAGAGAGATCACAAGTAGGCAGAGAGGCAGGCAGAGAAAGGGAAAGGGAAGCAGGCTCCCTGCTGAGCAGAGAGCCCGATACAGGACTTGATCCCCAGACCCTGGGATCATGACCTGAGCTGAAGGCAGAGGCTTAACCCACTGAGCCACCCAGGTGCCCCCTAATCAGGACATTTGAATGGGCTGAAAACATATTATCTTTTTTCCCATTTAAAATAATGCAATGTAGACTCTGAAATTTGGGCATCTGAAAATGTACTACTCAATATATTATCAGGAATGGATTAGATACAGATAATGAGAAAAAACTATAGTTGGTAAATTTTGATTTCTCATTTAAGACAGTAGTAATTTACATAGTTTTTCTTCTTTTAGTAATTTTTTTTATTTTAATGGAGCTACTTGGCTATCATTTTCTTGATATGTTATTTTCCCCTTAAAGTAGTAATTAGAAAATGTAGAATAACAACTTCTGCTTTTGGAATTTGCTTCAGAAAAATCAACTCTCCTTGATTTTATAAAAAAAGCTCTATAACCCTGAAGGAATATCTTCTATAATTTGTTTGCAGTATTATCTGGTGCAGCAAAATTTATGAGCTCTAAAATGGAGAGCTTCCTGCCCTTATTATATTCTAAAGCTTCTGACATAGAATAAATTATCTGGTGTTCAAAAAGGGATAGATGGTAAAAACAAAACAAAAAGTAGGGTGCCTGGGTGGCTCAGTTGGTTAAGCATCTGCCTTTGGCTCAGGTCATGATCCCAGGTTCCTGGGATTGAGCCCCTAATCAGGCTCCGCACTCAGCCACCACCCAAACTCACTTGTGCACATGTGCTCTCTCTCTCAAATCAATAAAATCTAAAGCAAAAACAAAAAAATGAGATAGACAGTAATAAAATGCTTACATCTTTCTGTACTCAAAAATATTCTTACCATTTGACTTCTCTAACAGCATATAATAATGGCAATAATAACAGATACCAAGTATCAGATACTTTCCAATGGGAGTTGCATACAATTAATCATTTATAATTTAATCAATGTGATATCATTACATTATTTTACACAAATAAACTGAGGCACAGAGAAGTTAAGTAACTTCTCCAATTGCACAGAAAATGGTGAAATAGAAATGGTGCTCAATAAAGGGTATACTTCAGCATTACATTCCAAGATGTAGAGATTCTTAAAAATGTTTAATGGGTTCCAGAAGTTACTTCTGCATTCATTAATATAAGCTTTCTAAAAATTAACAGATGTTGAGCACAAGCAGAAGATGTCCTAAATTCATTATGAACATAACATGGGTCTCTGACATTCCAGAGTTGTTGAAGACATGGAAGCCTCTCTTTTCTTTTCTTTTTTCTTTTCTTTTCTTTTCTTTTCTTTCTTTCTTTTTTTGGAACCCTTTCTTATATTAAATCATATTCAAGGCTTTTTCAATTATGAAGCCTCATATGTTGAGTAAGTTGTGAATGACGTCTAAAGTCTTTACCACATTGAACACACACATAAGGTTTCTCACCAGTATGGATCCTTTGATGTAGAATAAGTTCTGAGCCACGACTAAAGGCCTTCCCACATTCCTTACATCCATAGGGTTTCTCACCGGAATGAGTTCTTAGATGTTCAGTAAGATGTGAGCCACGAATAAAGGCCTTCCCACATTGCTTACATTCATAGGGTTTTTCACCTCTATGAATTCTCTGGTGTTCACTAAGTTGTGAGCCATAAATAAAAGCCTTGTCACATTCCTTACATTTGTAGGGTTTCTCACCTGTATGAATTCTCTGGTGATATGTAAGTTGTGTGGCACGAAAAAAGGTCTTCCCACATTCCTTACATTCATAATGCTTCTCACCATGAATTTTTTCATGTTGAGTAAGATATGCACCACGAATAAAAGCCTTTCCACACTCCTTACATTCAAAGGGTTTCTCACCTGTATGAATTCTCTGATGTTCACTAAGTTGTTTGCCACAAATAAAGGCCTTCTCACATTCTTTACATTTGTAGGGTTTTTCACCTGTATGAATTCTCTGATGTTGAGTAAGATTAGAATTAGAAATAAAGGCTTTCCCACATTCTTTGCATTTATAGGGTCTCTCACCTGTATGAACTCTCAGGTGATAAGTTAGTTGTGAGCCACGAAAAAAGGCCTTCCCACATTCCTTACATTCATAGGGTTTCTCACCAGTATGGATTCTCTGATGTTCATTAAGTTGAGAGGCACATAAAAAGGCCTTCCCACATTCTTTACATCTGTAAGGCTTTTCACCAGTATGAACTCTTTGATGATAAGTAAGGTGTGAACCAAGAATAAAGGCCTTTCCACATTCCTTACACTCATAGGGTTTCTCACCACTATGAATTCTCTGATGGTACGTAAGCTGGGAGCCAAGAATAAAGGTCTTCCCACATTCCTTACATTCATAGGGTTTTTCACCACTATGAATTCTCTGATGGAGAGTATACTGTGAACAATAACTAAAGGCTTTCCCACATTTCTTACATTCATATGGTTTCTCTCCTGTATGAACTCTCTGATGTTCAGTGAGCTGTGAACCACGAATAAAAGCCTTCCCACATGCATTACACTGGTAAGGTTTTTCATTAGTATGAATTTTCTGATGTTGAATCAGATCAGAACTACGACCAAAAGCCTTCCCACATTCCATACACTCATAAGGCTTTTCACTATTCTGAATCCTCTGATGTTGAATATAGGTTGGCTTTTTGCTGAAGGTCTTCCTACGTTTCTTAACTTTGGAGTGTTTTTCTTTATTATGACTCTTCTCATGTTGAGTAAGGCACAGCAAGTAGTTGAAAGCTTGTTCACATTCCTTACATTTGTACAATTTTTCCTTGGTAGGATTTATCTGAAGAGTAGGTGACATAGAATGGCTCTGAGTGGCTTTTTCACCATAGGTAATTTTCATGTGCATGTAAAGTCTTTCCTGACTTTTCTGTTGACCTTCAAACATTCCTTTGCCCTCCATTGTATCTCTAAGACCATTGTAATCAAGGTTATGGCTGATAGGTTTCCTCATATTTTCCCATTGCAGTGATTCCATTTCATAAGCTCCCTTTTCTGAAAATGACTTTTTGGTCTCACAATTGGATTCCAAGTCTAGAAGATAACAAGAAAGCAAATTCCTGCTGCTTCTGTTTACAAGGAGAAATGAAACTTCTAAAGTAAAAATGGTAGATAAAGTAAAAGTTCTTATAAGAACACAATGGCTGAAACAGTGCTGAAAGATTTTGTGCAATTAAAATAAAAGGTACAAGGAGGAAACATAGAATAAGGGGAGTTTATAGGGAAGAAAGTAATTGTAGAAACATGAGTGTGGGGTGCTTAAACTTCGGAATAGATTAGAATCCAACCAAGGAAGCTTATAAAATAACTGCAAAAACCATCCCCTGGAAACATTCGATCAAATGTCTGGGTAGATATCCAATCTAGCAACAAGTCCTATTACCTCTCCTATTAAAGTTTATCAAGTATCTGACCACATCCACTACTATCACCCAAGGCCAAGCCACCTGTCTCTCACTGTGATAGCTTCTTAACTGGTCTCTGTTTTTTGAACTTGGCCCCTACCTTCACACAGAAGCCAGAAGAATTCTTTGAAAATGTAATTCATATCATATTACTCCCCTGCAAAAATCTTCTAAGAGTTTACATCTCAGAATAATACCCAAAGTCCTTACTTATTATGGCCCACAAGACCTTACTCTACAAGAGCTTGCCCTTCTCTGATGTTGTCTCTTACCACTCCTAATTATTCATTCTGTTCTCAGCACAATGGCTTCCTTGCTGTTCAAAAATGCCAAGCATATGCCTCTGTGTTTACCTTTTGGAATGCTCTTTCCCCAGGTATCTGCTCTCTCACTTCAGTTTTCTGCTCAAATGTCACATTATCAAAACACCTAATATAGAATTGCACCTATATTACATTTATCACTAACGGACACATTATTTTTAAAGTTGGTGCCTTGTCTGTCTCCCCCATGCTTAGTCAAAGCAATGACTTTGCTTCATTCTCTGCTTTATTTTTCGTGCCTAGAACCATTACTTGCACATTATTGACACTCAATATTTATCGACAACCTGAAAAATGCAAATTTTCCTTCATTTATCAATCTCCCCAGATGCTTCTGGTCTAGGAAAAAATTTTGAAAATACAGCTTAAAACTTTTCAGTGGTTTACACCTTGTACTTCAAATAAAATCCAAATTCCTGTTCACAGCCCAAAAGCCCCTGCATGATCCATTCCTTGATTACCTTTCTGACCTCATTTTGAACCATTACTATTTTCAGAAACAATGCTCTTACTGGCTTTATTTAAGTTCCTGGAACATATCAAATTCTTTCCCATTTCAGATTCTCACATGCTGCTCCATCTTCCAGAAATGCTCTCTGCATGGCCAATACCTTTTTGTCAGAAATGTCCTAACTTAAATGGCAGCTGCTCAGGAAGACTATCCCGGAGAACACTACCTGGTCCGTGCTTTATCTTAATCTCTACACATCTACCTTATTCCTCACTCTTGTGTCCATTTTGCCAATTCTAGAATTGTATTTCATTTGTTTATGTTGATCTTCCTGCTCCTCAAGCTTTATAAGTGTAGAGAAAAATATACCTGTTTATAGCTATTCACCAGAACACAAAAAGCATTCATAGTATTTTCTTTCTCTCTTTATACATTTTTTTAGGTCTTCCTTCCCAGTACATTCCACTCAAGGTCAAATGTTCTCGTATCTCCCAGAAATCATTTCCACAATATTCTAAAAATACTGACAAGTTTACACAGTAAAGAAAATTTTAAGTCATTCTGAACAAAGATGAGTAGGTATAACTTTTAAATGTAGAACACTATCCAATAGGACTGGAGCGTGAGGCACAGTCTCTGACGACACTGCGCATAGGCTGTAAAATGTAACAGAGGATGATACTAAGAGAGAAAAATCAACATAAACCAGCAAAATCAAGTTTAAACAGTCTTTAGAAGTGAATCAGAGGGGCGCCTGGGTGACACAGTTACTTAAACATCTGACTCTTGATTTCGGCTCAGGTCATGATCTCAGGGTTGTGGGATTGAGCCTCACATCGGGCTCTGCTGGGCATGGACCCTGCTTAAGATTCTCTCTCCCTCTTCCTCTGCCCCTCCCCACTCTAAAATCCTTTTTAAAAAGAAATGAGTCAGAAATCCAAGGAAAGCATGCTTTTGTTAAAAAGCAGAAAGAAATTACAAACAAAAACAGAAAACCTCACGCAGCTCAGTTTAACATCAACTCATGTCAGCAAAATGTACTGGGATGAGAGTATCTGGGTTTTACTATATTTTTGAAAGAGAAGCACAATATGGCTTACAAAAACCACATACCACCAGGAAAGAACCCAACTGGAATATGGTGATTAATGGAACAGTGTAAGGGATCAAACAAATCCAGTTTAGAACCAAGTGCTCTCCAAGTTATAATAACATGATTAAACGGTTCCTTTTGTTGTATTAAATAAATGGAAGAAACAAGAAAAGTGCATAAGTGATGACAAAATGGAGTCTGAAAAGCAGGATTTTGGGAGACCTCTTTCATTCTTGCCCCCCTCAACTCCTGCTGAACTGATCTACTAAATTGCCCTTGAATCTGTTTGCTTATCCCCAGTGCCACTACCAGCACTCTGAGGAAGGCTAGGGCACCTCCTCTTTGAAGCAGAACAATAACCCACTCCATCATGTCCTGAGACCCTTTCTTCTAATCTCCATCTGGCAGTCAAGAGTGATGTAAATTAAGCATGTAAATTGCATTGTTTCACTGTCCTGCTCAAGATTCTTCATTAGCTCACAAATGCTTTGGGGACAAAATTCAAAGATAAGAAATACATGTTATATTATGATCCAATACACAAACATAAAACAATGAAATTACACAATACACAAACATAAAACATGAAATTATCTTTGCTACATGGAATGCATTCTGATATTTTTTTAAATGTTCTCTTCTGTGTTATTTTCTTTAAGAAACAAAACAAAACCAAAAAATAAAAATAAATGCTGCTCATAACCCACCAAGTCGTTTTTTTAAAGATTTGATTATGTATTTGAGAGAGAGAGAGAGAACGCGTGCAAATGGGAGGAGGGGCAGAGGAAGAGAATCCTCAAGTAGACTCCCCAGTGATGTGGCTCCATCCCAGGACCTCAAGATCATGACCAGAGCCAAAATCAAGAGTTAGATGCACCAACTGAGCCACCCGAGCACCTCCACCGAGTCATTTTTAGAACCCCTAGAAGGTTCTTTCTGGCCTAGACCCTGTCAGACTCTCCAAACTCACACCTGGCACCTGTCCTGCACTAGGCTCCAACTACAAGGGCCTTCTCTGAATACCTCATATTACACATCCTCCTATGGCCTTCAGGACACTGTTGCCTCTGCCAAGAATGCTCTTCCCTCTACCCTCAGCCTCCCCACCTGCTTTACATCCTTTCAGGGCTCCCCTGAAACTTCACGTCCCTTTGCTATTCCTGAAAAGCTGTCCCCAGTCACAGACTCCAGCAATGCTACACCTGTATTTCTCTCTAATATCAAATAGCCACTCCACCTGCTACAGCTTACAAGAGAGGCCCAGAGCTTTGGATGTTGGTAAGACCTCCACACCCTGCTATTAAGGCTGCCTTCTCCCGGGAAGGCTTGACTTCCATCAGCTCTTCGTCCAACAATGTCACTACCCTTAGCCTATAATAGGAAGAAGTATTAACCTTTCCCAGAGAAACTCTCCAGGACCAACCCTGTAATGCTTGACATCTCTGGGTATTCCAATACTCCTGGAAAGCCCTGGTTTCCTGCATCCTTGTTCATCACTAGAACTCTTATCTCATTCTGGGTCTAGACATCTTTTCCTGTGACGCCATATTCTCTCACACTCTAACCAGTAGACCTCTGGGAACTCACAGTATACTTGCTGCAAATACTCTGCAACCTCAGCCTCCCTCCCTTCTGTGTGTTCTCTTCACTTCTTGCTCGGATTGCAACCTTTAGCACACTGCTTCCTCTGAAGCACTGTTTTCCTCCGCCTCACTCCACTGACCTTCCCTTAGAGCACACATAACAGACCTTGCTACTTACAATTATGGCAAGACCTCCAAAATTTCAATTTTGAGTAACAATCCTTTCTGATTGCTACCACCCATATTTCCAGATCACTTACTCTTGTACCATCTTTCCAATATTCATCTCCATCTTAAAGACTCTTCCTTGAAATTAAAAGAGAACAACCTCTCCTTTGATTCTGTGGTTCACCTTGTAGCTCTTTTTCATTTACTGTACTCCTTCCTGGTAAAACTTCTCAAAAGAAATGTCTGTATTTCCTGTCAATACTTTTCCTCCCCTTTCTCTCCCACCCTCCTAATTAACATCTTTGCCGTATTTCCTTCCAGGCTCTTTCCCTTGCACTTTTATGCAGTTGAAATACTACTACATATACAAACTCGAATCACACTTCACACTTCTTTGTCCTAATTATCATAGCACTATTATTACAAACTTCTAATACGGGGTGCCTGAGTGGCTCAGTGGGTTAAGCCTCTGCCTTCAGCGCAGGTCATGATCTCAGGGTTCTGGGATCGAGC